ATTGCAGGGCACTTCCTGTTCAGCCCTTCATTGGGAGAGAAGAAAAGGGTATATTGGTTCTCTCATATCTCTCTGCTTCTGAAAGTTGCTCCTAATGCAGAGAAAGTATAACCCAGTTCTCCTGTTTTCAGCTGCCAAAGACTACTTTGCTCCATAAATATACTGCTCCCACTCTTCACGACTTAAATCACCAATTAACTCTCTCTTCCATTCAGAGAGGAAAAAATAAATTTGTCGATCTCAATTTCTTAACCTGATAAATTTTGGAAACAAAGGGGAAGAGCAAGGCATGGCTGGAGCACACCAGGGAGAAAAGCATTTTTCTGAGTTGCCGCCTTGCCTGGGGGAAGGTGTTGTAAGACTCTCCTATATTTCCTTGCCCTGTGCTCACACCTATAGGATATTTCTGTTTAGGCAAAGATTGCCTCCTCAGGCTTTGAATCTAAGATGGTCACTGAAATTGAAAGCTACGGCCTGGAATCTGTAGCTGGACAGCAAAGTCATTACTTGCAAAGTTTCACACCCCCTCATAGTGTGTTTTTGGTGGTGAAGTGTATACGTTGTTGGTCATGGCCATAGTTAGACGAGACCCTGAAGGAGTCTAACTTCTAAGGCAAGAGCTCCTGAATTCGGCACCAGCTTTACTTCATCCCATTGCCGGAAAAATAGCCTTTGTTTCCTGCTGGTGTATTTGCCACAGTAGGTTTCTTCTGATGCATTTGCCAGGGGACGGTTCCCACTGCACTTGATAGTCAAACAGTGGTGCAGTTAGCCTAGTTCGAAAAGCGTTCTTCTTAGGGTACTGTGGTCCTCATTCTCTTGCCTCTATCTTTTAAATCAAATGCCAGAAAGTTCAGCTTGCAAACCTGCACTTCTGGATCCTCTTGGCCAGTTAGCGTGAACTTAGTCTCCACCTCTGGCTGGTCCCTCTGAAGTTCCTCTAAATCTCCAAGCTTGGTAAGGGCCAGCTGTGGTGTTTGCGCATTATTCCCGTTTGATGCACTTTCCAACTTTTCCAGACCGTTAGAAAATAGACTTAAGAAAGACGAAACGTGTTTCACACCCCTTAACTTGTTTTCTGTCTTTCTTGCTTTATGATCTACAGCAGTACGTTACTGTGGGCTCCCGTGATGCTGAGCCTTGAATGTTGAGTGTTCATCTCCATGTTCTTATATATCTTTTAAAGGAAACATACCTTCAAGCATTTATTTCTACAACAGGTGCACATGGACACTGAGCTTAGCATGACTAGATCATAGGTGGTTTTTTTCTCCACTGATTTTAAAGACGCTTTAAACACCATACCTGAAGCGTAAACATGAAGTGCAGCAAAAGTCTGCAAATACTCTTCTTTTGAGTTTTATTCCCTCTCCAGGTGCCTGAAACAGTGATTTCTGGCAATCTGGTGCTTTTTTTCAATTTTGTGTCTCTTCAAAACGAAACAAAACAAACTCCTTGAGAATGCTAAACAGCTTTTCAGTTAGACTTTCTACTAAAATTAAAGGTCCCTGTAATTGACAACACCAGGGAGGTGCTGCTGAGGAAGCTTCTGGGCAGGTTCTCTTTTTGTCTTTTCTTTTTTTTTCATTATCCATCTATCACTAATGTGCACTCTGGAGTTACCTTATTCCAGCTGTTAAGCACTAGGGAAAAAACAAGAAACCTATGAAACAAAAGCTGCTATACAGCCTACAAAGCTGCTGTTCTCCTAAGAACAGTTCCTCTTTCCTTGGCTTTTCTATTCTTTCTTCTTCTACCATCTTCTGTGTGTTTTAATATGTACTTCTGGGCTCTCAGACCAGAGACTGTGCCTATTATGAGGAGCGGCTGAGGGAACTGGGGTTGTTTAGTCTGGAGAAGAGGAGGCTGAGGGGAGACCTTATCGCTCTCTACAACTGCCTGAAAGGAGGTTGGAGTGAGGTGGGTGTTGGTCTCTTCTCCCAAGTAACAAGCGATAGGACAAGAGGAAATGGGCTCAAGCTGCGCCAGGGGAGGTCTAGGCTGGAAATTACGAAAAATTTATTTACGGAAAGGGTGGTCAAGCATTGGAACAGGCTGCCCAGAGAGGTGGTGGAGTCCCCATCCCTGGAAGTGTTCAAAAAATGGGTAGATGTGGCACTTCGGGACATGGTTTACTCTAGTCTACCCTTGATTGGCTTAGTGTGGACTTGGTAATGTTATGTTAATGGTTGGACTGGATGATCTTAAAGGTCTTTTCCAACCTAAACGATTCTGTTTTTTCTTGTGGTAAATGCCAAGCACATCTTTCACTCTGAATAACATAATGAGGAAGGGATAGCTTGGTAGTTGATAATAGTAGCCCAGGGGAAAAGACTCAACTTTATTGCTGAGATTTTAAGAGGAAAAGTGACCTTAGGTTTTACAATTTGGGAAGCAGTGGTGGCTTACACTGGCTTAGCCACTTGTCAAACTACTGTGCAAGCAGTATTCTTGATTGCAGCTTTGTAGGCATCATCATAGGTCATATGTTTAAACAGAAAGCATGAGCTGGGTTACGATTTCAGGCTTGCAGGGTATTGCTGGCTGAGCACGCAGTGCGCGTGACGGGCACCTGTCACCCCCAGGTACCCGCTGTGCTGACGCTCAGGGGACACGTACCTTAGCCTGGATCTACGGGGGCATGAGGAGGGCTCCGCAAGCCACTTCCAGGCGATTTGTGACTCGCCTGAGGATGAGAAGCCGCAGGTTGGAGAAAGACAGAAACACAGTGTAAAACCTGTACACGTCAGGCTGTGAGAGGAGCATGTACGTAGAAAGTCCCTGTGCATTGCCCTGGCTCTGCGCGGCTCTGCCCCACTGTAGCTTTATTTTATGTAGCCCCTCAGGCCAATTAAAAGTCTAGCGTTAATCAATTCTTCTCGTGGTCATTCTCAAGTTTCTTTCTCAAAGGAAACATTAGTCAGTAGTTTTATCTCTCAATTTTGTGTTTATTTTTGAGAGAAGTTTTGTAAAGATTCCTCAAGTAATGTTTAGTCTGTTTGCAAAATCTTATATCAACATGCTTTTGAATTTGCGGTGTCATGTAGGGAGACATAACACATGGAGAGTTTCTTTAACTGTGAAAAGCAATATGGCTCTTGGCAGCTTTGCCTCCTCTTTTGTCTCTTTCTAAGCTGGAAAGCGGATTTATTTTGTTAAAGCCAGGAGACATTTAGAATTACTTAAGGCCTGTGTAGGAGCTGCTGACTGTTGTTCCCTCTCTGTAGCATTCCCATGACTGCTGGAGCAGGAACACTTTGGAAAAATGGGTAATTAGTGCTTCCTTATTAAGGTTATTAATGATTCTGACCCTTGTTATATTAAAGAAAATCCTGAATATTAACCTTATGACCTAAAGGGATTTCTTCTCATAAGTCATCTGTTATTTTTTTTTTAGCTCCTAAAAATATACATTTGTATTTTATATTCTTGCTATAGATATCAATTTCCATTTAGCAAATTTTTAAAATTCAACTAACGGAGGAAAATGCAGTTATGAAAGAAGTGTATTTCAGAGTGCGTGAAGAACATTTGAAGTTGATAATTGTGATTTTACTGTAACAAAGTAGCTTAGAGTAAACCAGAAATATTTTCAATTTTCAACAAGATTAGAGTAATTCAGGTCACATATTCCCTTTCACAATATATAGTCTGTGATGGAGTATTGTCAGAAAACTGCAAATACTTGCAGAAAAGTGTGAGACATCTTGTGTCTCCCTGAGCTTGTGTTTTTAATAACGATTACTAATTCACTGCTGTGTTAAATGCAGTAGGTCAGGTTAGATGAATTTTTATTCAGAAGAGTTTTGGCCTACAATCAGTGTTTTGGCTTTGTATCATCTGCCCTGTGTATATTTTTGTTGCCTTCTTTTTCCTTCTTTTTTTTCCTATTCTTTGCTCTTTCCTGTCTTTTTCCAACAAGATAAGAAACTAATGACCTCTTTGTCCCCAGGTCCTAATGCCGTGGTGTGGAGCTATATTCACAAATCCCCAGACTTAGACATATTCTTGCTGTGTGCTTTCTTTCTGGAGCGAGAGTGTAATAACATAGCTTGTTTAGCTTTTGCTGGTTTTAACAGCAGGCAGAAGAAAGCTTTTCTTAATATTTTTGTATTAACCATCCATTCTTAATAGCCTTGTGTTCTTTACAAGACTGAAAATAGTAGTCAGAGTAAGCATCCTTCTGGACTGTATTTGTACAATTGAACAAATGGTTGGTATTACCAGTTGGTAACATTTGACACCAACATTAAAATGCTGGCATATATTAGCTATAACCCCATTTTGTGAGTGATCACTCTATTATGCTTTCAATGAGTATTCACATACTCTTTTCTGTTAAAATCTCTTACCACCTTTGATTCAATGCCAGATTGGTTTTTTTTTTTAGCCTTTTCCTTGCTTGCCCATTTTTAAAATGCAGCCTATGGCAGTAAGACTTAAATACTCCTGAGGCCTGAAGGTAGTCACCCTTTAAACAGCATCAAAGCACCAAAATTTCCCGAAAGCTCAGTCCAAGCCTTCCAGCCTACTGGTTTGGCCAGTCCCACTGCCACTTGCATTTCAAGTATGAGTTCAGCGAAAGGGAACATTGGGAACATTTACTTTAAGCCTTATTGCCAGGGCGATACAGAGACAAAAAACCAGATTTTAGAGACAACCCAAACATAGACAAATCCCTTTTCAAGTTGTTCAGAATATTTGAGGAATACCTTTTACCACTTGCCTTTCCTTCTGGCTGTTGTACAGGTTTGTACACCCTGAAAGTAACACCTGTTTCCTCCAGGTTTAGTTTATTCACCTGCAGCAAATTAAGGATAGAGTTTACTAGATAGTAAAATCTGCCCATTTACAGTCGCAGTTCACGTTAAAAAGAGGATTGATGCACCCGAATGCCAGCTGAGTTAGTGTTTGATAGCAACAGTGAGGCTGGGAGTTTATGAGGTTTCGTAAGGCAAATAGTCTCAGCATTTGGTGTGAGGTTTGGTCTTCGTGGAGGGGAGACGTGTTCAGTCGAGTGGGCTGAACAGTGCAGGATCTAACCCCTAAGCAGTAACTCGGCAGTAGCAGTGCTGTTTCTTTGCCTCTTCTCTAAACATGCCTGAAAGCCCAAAACCTGACTATTTGTATTTTAAGAAGTCGATGCCACACAAGGAGTCAGCTAGCGGTGTTCCTGTCCATTTACTTATGACCTGTTTCAACAGAACCTTCTCGCAGCTTTGACTGTTAGTTTTGAGCATTTCATGCAATAAACTGTTGTATGCAACCCAGAACAGACTGCGTTGGGGACAAATGAATTGAACACGTATGTGTGTGCATGCTGTACTGTAGCTTGTAACTCAGCTGAAGTATGGACTCATAAAATAACCAGTGGGAAGTTTGGGGTAGTTATTATTGATATGATTAGTTTCCAAGAGGTGGCAAACTAATATGGCACATGGATATTAATTTTCAGTTTCTTAGACGTTGGCTTTTTTTTTTTCTGTCTATATGGCTGTGGATCTTTTATTTAGATTGTGAGGCTGCTGTTCATACATCTGCAAATTTTAGCTGAATGAACAACGCTAGCCAAACTCTGCTAGATCAAACCTCCAAACAAGGTGTTTTGGTATGTGGAGACATTTTACTACCAGGGTCAGGTTAGAATCCCGTCTGCAGGACTGAGCTGCACATCTCCATATGATTCCCCTGTAATCCCTTGGATAAGAATGTATATTTACTGTGCAGCCCCAAAGAGCTTAGTCAGAGCTGAAGGTTTCCAACCTGCTAAATGCTGTGCAGTCCTACAATCATTCTTTTGGTCTCTCAGCATCAACCCTTAATTTTCCTTCGGGTTTTATTAAGTCATAACTTCCTTTGACTCCCAATGGAGTCTGCATACTTCAGGGCAGCTGGATGGGATGGGATGGGACGGGACGGGACGGGACGGGACGGGATAGCAAGCTAAATACACAGAAGAGAAAGGAGCACAGACTTGATAGGGACCCTCTTTTTGTATCCCAGTTTATTTCCAGATGTTTTCATGTGGAGGCACTGTCCAGTTTTCCCCTTCCTAAAGCACTTTCTGATGATACATCCGACCTTATTGCCATGGTTTTTCGTGCTGCCACAGGGATGGAGCTCTAGCTCTTGAATCTTAGTACAGTGGTGCCACTGTTTCTGCTGAGAGCTTTCTCTTGCAACATGCACTGAAAAGGTCATAGATTAAAATAAATTTAAAATATGTCCAAGGGCAAATTCACCACACATACTTGACTGTCAGGGTTTGGGGATTTTTTTTTCCCCTTTTCTTAGTGCTGAGGCATATTAGAGATTTTTATGGTTTTGAGTGTGATCCAGCATTGATACTGTAGCTCTGGAGGAGTGCCAGCAGGGAGGCTTACAGAATATCAAGTTTTATACCATCTTATGTAATGTTTATGCGGGTGGGATATGACATATTGAAATTCAATTTATTGAAATTATTGAAATTATATTTATACTGCCCTGCTGCCAGTGGGGCCGAAATGGCTATGTTTTGTGGAAAAAAAATTCCTGCTCGCGCAGACATAGACACTCAGGGACGATAGGTTTGCATTCATGTTTTTGTCTTCTCCTGCACCTATTTTCACTGGTGAACTGGTGCTGTTACACTAAAAGTCTACATTGTGCAGCCATAGGCATATAAATAAATAAGGGAAAGGGTCTGAGTTCTTAAAAATAATGAAAATATATTCAGGATTGCATTGCTGGCTTAGGAACCTTCGTTTAGACAGGGTTCAGTTTCTTTTCAGAAAAGGCAGTATCTATTTCTCTCATTAATCCTTTCATTGCAAAACTCATGTTAACAACAATGCACTGAAACCGCTCTGCATGAGTTATGTCTTTTTGATTTTATCAGTCTAATTCAATCAGTGTGGATACGTTTACATCTGTGTAAAGCTACCCTGTACAGTACAGATTTTTCCTGTCTAAGAGATAGAAAGAAAGACATGTTTACTCTGAGGTCACTCTGTTGCCATGTGAGAGGCTGATGGTACCAATACCACCATGCTGGGGGAAATGTGTGTGAGAGGAGCCACTCTCCTGGCCAACGTAGTACTTGCAGTAAAAAAAAAAAAAAAAAAAAAATCTGTGTCAAGACCAAACTGTAAGTGAATATAAATGTAGCTTTTTTAAAGTGTATTTGCTACCTGAAGCTGTTTCATCTCAAAGAAAAAATAATTGACATATTTGCGAAGTCTTTACTGTAGAGGCTGCCATTTCTGACAAAAAAATTCCCACTTTTTTGGCTGGGCATTTGCTCACCTTATCTCATGCATCTTAACAGCCTCCTGAACAACAGCTAGAAGTTTGATATGCATTGCTGGTGGGGACATTGAGCCTTCTTCATTACAGTAACCTACCATGGAGCATCCAGTTCATAGTTATGGTTAGAGGACTGCAGAGAAAGTCCCCTTTTGGACTAATTCTTCCTTAGAAGCACCACCATAAAGCAGGTGGTAGTAAACTGTTCTTTTTGTTCACTGTGGACAGAACAAGAACAAATGGGACTAAATGGCAAAAAAAGAAATTTAGGCTAGACAACAGAGAAGCCTTTCTTGCTGGCAGGGGTAGTTAAGCACTAGATGGGTGTGGTATGTCCATCATTAAGGACTTTTAAGGCACGTCAGACAAACAGTTTTCAAGAATCGTTTAAGAAGGCTAAATCCTGCTCTGGGCAAGGAGAGGAAAATGGGTAATCTGTTCTCCTCCAGCCCCATTTCCTCTGATTTTTTTATAATGATTTTGATGCCACTTAATGATTATTATAACTAGCTGTGCTGTTGCTGTGTATTTTACTGATATGTTCTTATATGTGATTCATTTTGCTCTTGCAGGACATACAGCAAGGTACTCATGATAACAGAATTTGTTAATGTATAAAGGAAAACTATGCCCCTACTTAAGAGAGCATTCAAATTCTAAAGAGCAGTTCTGACATCTTCTTTTACTTTTGTTTTTCTGTATACAGGATTCCCAGGTGTTTGTGACACATCTGTTTATAACATCATTGTATAACATGTTTGGAAAGTGCTGGAAAAATATTCCTGCTTTTTTTTTTTTTTTTCTCTTTAAAATTTCAAAAATCCATTACAGGATTCAGCTTTTCAGTTAACAAGATTATACAGTAAAAAAATTCAGACAATATTGCAGTTGAAATAGACTGAAGAATTCTTACACGTACTTTATTTGTGCTTCAGAAATTAGGCAATTTAAGAAGCCTACCCTTTCTGTCATTCTTAAGCTCATCACAGTATCTAAAGTCAATTTAGCAAGAAGATACTTAGCCAGTGTTTTGAAGCATCCATACGGAAATATTGCCATGTCATTCTGTTGGTTGGGATTATGTTACTTGCTGAACGATTGCTACTCCTTTTTTGCCAGTATAATCAATAAAAGTGACACTCAGAAATCTGATCTTTCTTCTCTGCAGGCCAGCTTTGGGTGGTCTCCTTACATCATCTTTTCGGCAGCACCAGGAGTCCTTGGCAGCAGAAAGAGAAAGACGACGTCAGGAGAGAGAAGAAAGGTTGCAAAGGATAGAACGTGAAGAAAGAAACAAATTCAAGTAGGAACCAAATTTGCTCTCAATCTGTTGCTTTAACGTGTGCTAGATTTGTAAACATTGAGACACTCGATTGCAAAATAATTGAGTTGATGAATAGTTAATGTGTCTCTTTAGATACCTTTCTTGACCTAAGTATCTTAAGAACTGATATATTAAACACATCATGATGAATTTTGGCATTTAGTAAACCAGCAATTTTTTTATAGACAGCTATGTATTTGCCAATTATACTGACTGCATATCTGCAGAGGCCAGGTTTTATTAGCTAATATACTCCTCAAAGTATAATCTTAGTGAGGCCTGGGGTTTGAAAATGAAACAGTGGGAAGAAGGTATCAAGAAGGGAGGAAATGACAGCACTGAGACATCTTTTTGCCCTTATGTTCTGCAAAGTAAAAGTGTTTTGCTGTCTCAGGATGTATGGTAGTGTTTTTAAACTACTTTTTCCTGCTTTTCTGAACATGTCTATTCCTCCTGGAAACAGCAACTGACAGAAAGTAATTATCAAAATTATTGCTCAAACTGTGGCCAGACAGAGGTCCCAGCTGAATATAGGACTCCCTATTTCCACATCTGAGAACATGTTGTGTGCTGGGGGATCCCAGGGTGTGCTGCCTGAGCATAGTAAGAGACAAGCCCTCTCCTCCTGTTAAATCCATGCCTGGAAATCCCAGTACAGGCATTAGCAAAGACTGAAGCGGGCTTAGGATAGATAAGGAGCCTATACCAGAAGTGGTTTGCCTACTGCCTGAAGAGCATACACTAAGAAACCAATTTGTTTCCTTATAAAGAGGAGTGAAAAGTAAATGTATTTTTAGTAGTTAGAATACATAATGTAATAATCTAAAGAATGGTAGGATAAACGTTTCGTAGCCTTAGAGTTGGTATTTATGGAAAAGATGGCACTGGGTTTCATGTGAGCTTGTTTGTTAGTATGCAGGATTGTTTTCACTGTAATCATCTCTTTAGTAAGCAGTGGAAATGGTCTGTGTCATAGTGCATTTGGAAAGAGGAGTAACTTACTAGTGGTTGGTTGGTTGGTTGAAGGAGATACTCTCCTGGCTCCAGAAGATAGCTAGTTTAGAAGAAAATGAGAGGCGGAGGGAAGGTGGAAGAGCACCATAATAGGATCTTTGGCAGCCAACAGCTGCCCAAGTCCTCCTGAAACAGAAACAATCAGGTCTCAGTCTTCAAGTCTCTTCCAAAAACTCTCCCTCTAAGTGGTATCATCAGGCTGCAGCAGGCTGCCGTGGACAGCCAACATGATCTTTCAGAAAGGAAACTCCCAGACCAAAAAAGCCACCAGGACATTTGGCAGCTTGACCTGTTTGAATAACAGATCTGCACATTTCACTAGAGGTTGGCTACAGTAGTTGTTCTGTCACTAAAAGAGCTTCCTTAAAGTCAGAAAAACAGATTTTTTAAAATATACATCTTCATCCCGTTACTCCAGAGTCAGGAACTGGTTAACTAAATGCCATGATTGTGTTGCATATTTAAGACGAAAATTTTTCAGTGCCCAGTGTTTTCATCTTCTAGATTTGAGTTCCCTGGTCACCCAAAAGTTATAACTTGTGTTTGAGAAGAGGGTCTCCAAAGCCACCAAACTTTGCAGACAGACAGAATCCCACAGTTGATTAAACAGTCTGGCGGGAGGAGGACAAAGCCACAGCAAAGAGTCATGGACAGTTTTGTAAGAGTTCTTGGGATTACATTATCGTATCATCAGTCTGGCTAGAAAACCAGTCTCTGAAGATGTATTTTTGATTAAAAATAGCACTTGCAATTCACAGCCTTTAAACTCGTGAGCAGTACTGGATTTACCATCATGACTCATTTGTTATCTCATTCTTTCCAACTCTGCCTCGAGAACATTGCACTAGGTTCTGGCACCGTTATTGACAAATTGAGGATAATTTAAAGGAGACCATAGCCAGTTGTGAAAGGGCTTGGTTTTAGGAGAGGTGTTAAAAAGCTTCATAAGCTATTGCAAGCAAAAGGAATGCTTTACATAATGAACATTTTTCTCAGTAGAAGGACTATTGTACCTGTTGCATATATAAAATAATATGTCCTAAAATACAAGGGTTATTCTTCAGCTGTAGGGAAGGGTGAAAGTTGTCAGAGGGGAAAGAGTGATGTTAAAATTTGCCTACTGAAAAATTCCTAGATTTTTTTTTTCCCTTTCAGGAGTTATTCCCATAGCTCTTGTAATTCCAGAGAATACTCAGAAAATATGGTAAAAGTATAACCAGTTCAGGGATTCAAAGGATGTGGACATAGCCTGAAACAGTAATGTGTGTGCCCACTTAATGGACTTTTGAAGAGCACTTGCAAGCAGATGTTTGATAGCTATTGGTATAGTAGATGATAAGTAATTCATTTGATGACACATTATAAAGAGAAAAAATAGCGGTTTATTCATAAATGGAGTAGCTCTGAAAATCTTTCTGGTACTCACAGGTTATACTGTGGAAGAATCTAACAGGTAAGGTGAAAGTCTCATCAGTTTTGTCCACCAGATTAAACAAAATATTAAAAATATATTGTAAGGAACTATCTTGCTGTGATATTGAGGCAGGCTGGATGTTCACTGGGTTCTGCTGTGCTCCGAGTTAAATTTCCATCCACATTTGTAGATGCGACAGGCCTGCCTGAAACCACAGTGCTCGGGCATCCAGCAAAGTTCACTTGGCAAAAGCTAAATATATGAGTTACTTGAGGAGCTGTGGGAGGGGCAGCTGACATAGAGGGAGGTTTGTGTCTAGAACTCAGGGTGAAAAATAAAGAAGCGAGAGGTTGTTACTTTGATGATCCTGCATGCGCCTTGTAAGACTGAAGAATTGTCCTACTTGGTAATGCCAGTCCGCCGTCACATTTCCAACCATGGCAACTAAAACACACTGAGGAAAGGTATCTTAGAAAAAGGGATGACACGGTATGCTCCCTGCCTTAGTCTAGCCTGCCAGGTGCCACAGTCACTGTTTCGGGGCATTCTAGATGGAGCAAAAGAGGAATGGTTTAATAGCCACTAATGTGCCTGCTCATTATAGATGAGTCCGGTTCGTTGTATCTAATTTCAGATACCAGGTTTCAAAATGTGCTTCAAGTTCTTCACTTTGGGGGGGGGGGGGGTGGTGGTGTTTATAATTACTTGTAATAACCTTCCAAACTACGTATTTGGTGTACGCATACCTGTGGTGTATGCATGGATAAGTGAACACATGTACTTTTCAGCCTTTTTTACAACAACAAACTAATAATTTTTGTTGACAACAGCCTTCATTTTCTCTAATCAGCTTGTTTGTACTGCTCTTGGTTTCTTCTACTGTACTTGTACTTCTGTTACTTACCTGATTCTTCTGGTTTCCTCTGCAATTTACTGCAATTCTCTTTTTAGCCGTGATTATTTAGACAAAAGAGAAGAACTAAGACAAGCAAGAGAAGAGAGGTTTGTATATCATGCATCCATCCTTCCCTTTGGTTGTTTGCACTTCCTGTATTCTTTACTGTAGAGCTGTCGTGTATTTACATTTTTAACTCTGCATGCACAGAACACTTTTATTCCAAAAGATTTCTATAAGAAAGCGGTTGTTTCAGTAAAGAAGAGAATGAGCTCCAGCTGTAAGCACAGCAATAAATGAAGAGCAGTGGGACTGGAATGCATAAGAATGATTGATGATCTATCTTTTATCTATTTGTGTGGGAAATAAGCTTACTCTGTTTGCCTCAGAAAGTTGCCCAAATTTAGTATAGTTATAAATTGAATAAGCCTGTGTTTCTCACCCAGTGGGTCCCAAGCTTTCTGGCGGGTCAGAAAAGGCAACTGAGGATAAAGGAAATTGGGGTCACAAGCATTGCAAAACTGTAGTCACAGTCTGATGGAAATGGTTCTGACCCACTCCCAGTGTATTCTTTATCTTTCAAGGCCAAGTTTTCTATGCTGGTCTCTCTAAACGTTAGCAAGTAAATTACAAAGCTTAGAAGTGTTTATCACTGGGGCATTGTTTTAGTTTTAGTTAAATAGTGTATTTAAAGGGACTGAGCTTCCCCCCCCCCTCCTTTTTTTAATTCGATTGAATAGTTTAGAATTCTGGGCTAGGCTGGAAGCTATGTACTTATGAAAGCACGTTTTTCAAGGAATACTCAACTAAAGACCTTTGCCTTTCAAGTACCTTCATCTGTACCTCCACTAGTAATTACACCCTGGAGGGAGCTCTTGTTTTTACCTGGAAAATATGCACATTACTGAGCAAATAGTAGATGAAAAATCATCCAGATTGCTTCAGTTCTGCTTTTATGGTCCTCTGGAGGTTACTCTCTGGAGATACTTTTGGATTGTCAGGAATTGGAATTACATTATCAAAGTATGAGAGCAGCCATCTCAGAAACGGTTGCTGTGTTTTGGTTTGGGGGATTGTTGTTTCCCCCCCCCCCCCCCAAACCCATCATACAGGAGGCAGTTCGCTTCTGCAAACTAAAGTGTGATCTGTTGTGGCTGACGTAGCTAATACTAAAAAATTATTTTGACATCTCTAAGAGTAAGAATAGGTGGATGGGCTTTCCTTTGTCCTTCCAGCCAAAACAATTACAAATAGTTTAAAGCATTTTCTGAAATGAAATGCATCTGAGCACATAAGCATCATACACTGATCTTAGCTGAGTAAAACCTTTTACAGCAAGCGTGCTTGTCAGCAAGGTTTGAAACAAATTAGAAGCAAGCTCTCCGGCACTTTTAAGTTGTAAGGGAATATGCCAAGTAGACTGGAGTATTCTGGGGGAAGTGTCCACCAGCAGGGCATCACTGCTGTGCAATCTGAGAAAAATTCACTGGTCATTAGGAATATGTCTTTATCCTTAGGGCTCTTTTGAACTGAAATATTAAACTATCAGTTCTTCCTCATAAAGAGGAAAGACATGTGTTTGCTTTGACAGCACATAAATATTGGAGAAAACTTGTGCGAGTGAAGTCTTGCACCAATAGTCCATTACATTGGCCTTCTGTAACTATGTTTTTTAATAAACACCTTTGCACAAATTAAGTTTCATTTCCTATAGCAAGTTGCATGTTGACTTGTTTTAAGAGAACGCATGGGCTGTAAGAAAATGCTATAGCCAAGGTGCTAAAATCCCAGTTAAAATCTGGATTGTACATTTCCTCCATATCAGTTTGGAAAAGTAGAAGGAGATAATACTGAGCACATAGGAAAGGCTCTATTAAAAGCACTAGTTTGCCTAAATTCTGTCAGATCTCTGGAGCGTTCTGTGTACTATTGCATCACGCTGGAGCTCCAGAGGACAGGCACCCACTTTTCCAGTGGCTCTGGTGTGGCTTCAGTATGAGGGAGAAAGATTCCTGCAGTTTCAAGGGGTCTGAGTTAACTCAACACCATTGATGTCATGTGTTTTTGCGGTTCGATGATTTGAGACCTTTTTTACTTTGCTTGGTTGGGTGTTTTCCAGTGTCAATTTAAAAATAAACCCAAGAAAGGTGATCTCCCAAGCCCTCTCTAGTGTGATTTACAGCTCAAATGCTCTCAGCCCCGTGACTTTGTTGGTACATAAATATTTTAAGTCGCCTTCCTTCAGGGCATTGCTCAGAGACCTAGAGAACTTGCAATGATACTTTCATCTACTTGAAGATAAGTGGAATGTCATGTTCATGAGGTATACCAAATGGATAGCCCCCAGACTTTTTGCTCTTTGTCTATAGGGAAGAGTCAGCAGAGGCATGATGTTGTCAGCAGGTTTCCATGATTTAAAGGTATACGGCAGTATATACAGAGGCAATGTGTCAATCCTGTAGTGAAGGAACTAATTGCAGGAAAGGGATGGGAGCTAATCCTTCCAGCTCCTTCAGATTTTGGTCTTCATGAGACCTTGTGTATTTGATGCTGGCATTCATTCATTGTTATGACATTGGGCAGAAACAAAAATAACCTAAATAAATGTAATTTATCAAGTGTGAAGTGTTAATAACTGATTCTTGAATGATTTTTATTTCTCGGTTAAATTGCTATATCTGCTTATTAGACTTCCCATTTGATAAGTAGTTACGCTGATGTGCTGCCATGAGAGCCGCTGTTCTGGTTCCCTTTTTTCTTTCAGTATAATGAACAGATACATTTTGAGAAGGCATATCTTGATGATAGTCCTCTGCTTTGCTGGTTGGCTATGCAGCGCACAGCTACAGAAGCTAAAATGTTAAAGCAGCTGAAAAAGAGCCGAGGGCAATAAAACATTGTGGTTCCCCCCGTCACAGAAGGATCCATCCAGATCTTTGTTGTAGTCTGTTGGCAAACTGCAAGACCCTCTCAGCGGCAGCCAGCTGGGCTGTACCTGTTTGAGCTAAGTGATCAATTTGAATGGCTCTTTATGAGTCTGAAGTCCCTTCTGCTCTACTTGTGAGGAGGCAGAAGGTGCAATACGTAAATGACCAACATCAAAAGAAAGACTGGCTTCATGAACTGTAACAAAACATTATGCTAATGCCAGGGAAAGGCTTTCTCCTCTATTGAAAAAGCAAAAATCACTCTCGAGAATTGGCTTCATGTTAGAACTGTAAACAGTTTCTATTTTATAACCATACAAGTATGCGGCTTGTTATATTTTCATCCAGAGTCTGTAGGGGTTCTTTTGCTTGCAGAATTTATTCAAAGCCTGTGCATACCTCTGGAGGAATAAAAGAAAATGAGTTTGTTCTTCATTATTGCTGTTGCAATAAAGCAAATTGCCTCTGAAAACACAGGGACTGCTCTTCAAAGACACATTTCTATGCTTTATATGGATGTTTGCAAATATGCATGCGTGTGCGACTACCATGTGTACTAAGCGTGTTTGTTACTACATACGGCTGACTTCTTTACCCTGCCTGCTTTTAATGCACCCTCGTACACTAATTTGGGCTGTCAGTGAGGCAGAAGGGGCGAGGAGAGGTGTTCGCTGTTACGAAGTGTTTACAACAGTGGGTTATAGGAGGATGACCACAGTGTTTCAGGAACATAAGCAGTAGTCTTGATTAACCTGTTTAACAGTTCACTTGTGGCTAAGACAAAACAGTCTAAAGCCCGATCCAGCTGTATTCATGAATTTATTCCTTAGCAAATAATGGTGGATAAAATTAGCAGACATCTGGAAGAGGCACATATTTCAAAGTTATTTTGGTCGAAATGTATAAAGCACACTATGAAGAATATGATTGGTAGCTGGTCTTAATAAACAGTTAGTGAGTTCTGCCTGCCTAAAATGCAAAACAGATGTATCTTTGTTCTTTTAAAGTGACTTTGATGAATAAACTACATGTGACGTCAGGTCCAAGCTATTGGATGTCTGAGTCCGGCAGAGAAATTTTTTAGAATAAAAAAAAGAAAACTTTCCATTGTAGACTCTGGAGAGAACAAAGTGAATTCCAGTGCATTGCTCTCAGAGCAAATAGAAGCAGGTTCAGAGACTTTAGATAGTCAATCCAAACATTTATTATTGGTATTGTTTTCAGGGAGATCTGTTTTTGTCTGCTGCACTGAACCATTTTCCTCTCCTTGCAGCAAGTCTCAGACTTTGGCTATTTGCATCAGTATTAAGGGGCTCTGGCTTTGGAGGGTTTGTTGGGTTTTTTTTTCTTTTTTTTTTTTTTTTCCCTCCCGTTTTAGTTTTGTGAGAGGGAGGGCTGGGAGGAGGAGGAGGAGGTGAAGGAGGAGAGTGAAAAGGAGGACAGACAAATGCGTCCAAAAGGAGAAGGACTATGCAGACACAATACTGTATCTAAGGACTCTTTAACTCTGCTGGTTTTTGCTTTTGTTTTGTCATGAGCAATTTAATGTTTTTCAGGGCAGTAGTCTTTGCTTTGGTGTGCATTTTTTGGCAGATTGACCAGGCAGGCAGTTTAGTGCTGTACCCCTTGTGTCAGGAAGTCAGCTCATTCTCTGCAGGTGTTTCATCCATAAACAAGCATCAGCCACAGACTTCTTTTTCTTTACGGAAACCCTCTGGAATTTAACTTTCAGATACAAATACTTGGAGAGGTTGGCAGCGGAAGAGTATGAGAAGGAGCTGAGGAGTCGGAGCATAAGCCGAGGCAGAAGTGAGCTGTCCTTGAACCTGAGATCTCCTTCAGCCCCATCCTCGCCTGTACCCAAGTGTGTCAGCCCAGCATCCATAGAGTCCCAGGAAGAGCTGAAGACCCCTTCTACCCCTTGTGGGACCCCTCAGCCCTCAGAAGGTAAGTGAAAAGGAGGGCAGGGGAAAGAGCAGTGGTTTTATCACAGTTTCTCTTGGGCTAGCAGTGATTTTTGATGCATGAATGCAAGAATATAACCTCTGAGGTGCCAAAGTAAAGGGTCTAATTATATTGTTTCATGCTGTCTTCCTAAATTTCCTCCTTTTTTCCATAGATATGGATGTCTTCTAGTCTGTTCAAGCAAAGAATATACTGCTAATTGTTGCTATGATTTATATTATCATTGTCTGTTGCTATTAGAATGGAATAATTGGAAAATACAGCATACAGAGGGTCTTAATTTTAGCATCATGTTCCTTGTATATTAGAAGTTACTGAATACTAAACCAACAATATTCCTGCCAACAGATTTTGCTTATGTGGTTTTTCTGAAAGAAATGCAACAGATGAATGCCAAGATTATAATAACCTTCCAGCAGAGCACAGGCTGAATGGGACAAACAGAAAAGGTCTTGAATTGAAGGCAGGGAGGGTGTGTTGGTTATTTTTAACACCAACAAAAACTCTTAAAATTGTAGCACAAGTAGTAAAGGACTTAAAAGAGACCACAGACAATTAGTAAAAAGGAAAGTATAATTAGTGTTTGCACAGTTGGTTTGCTGTCATGTAATTTATTGGTGTACAGAGCATTATTTTTTGTGTGTGCACGTCATTCTACCACTTGCATCATGTACCCCTCCTTCAGTCCTCAAAAAAACACCCACCATACAGATTTATATTTGCACCACATGATGTTGCATTAACATTGGGAGCTAGAATGCATGTTGAGGGTGAATTATCGCCATCATTCATTTTCATTTTATTTGATTTCCTGCTATGTGCTATTGGTGATTAATGCATTTGTAACTTGCACTGCTTGGTTTTATTGAGTGTTATGGCTGGTAGCATGCTATAAAGCAAGGCAATTTAAGAAAAAAGTTACAAATACTGAATGTTGCATATGTTTATCCTCGCTGTACTAAGTAGGTGAAGTTTATTTAATTTAGGTTTATGTATTTTCCCAATTATATTCCCAGTTTTCTTGTCTGGCACCTTAAAAGTCTCAGTGGAATCATTTGAACTTAAAAAACATGGATATTTTCCTGTAACACTGATATTCAGAAACATCCAGATGCCCATTTTTTTGAGTGCAATATTGCTTTTAGAGCAAATAAGCCGGATTTTTCCACCATTAAGATTTCAGAGCTGGGTAGGGAGCAAGTATCTCTTTTATGATGATTTTAACATATTTCTCCTGGAAGCATTCAAAAAAAATTGCGGCATGAAATGGAGCAGCACAATCCATTTGGAGAATACATTTAGAGCAGGTGTACAGGGCAACTTCAGGCAGCCAGAATATGGCAAAGCTATCAACACATGGGTAGGCAGGACTTCTCTACTAAAACTCCTGGCAATATCAGTAGGCATCAGAGGACACACCTGGAAGCCTGGCAAATGGGCTGCAAGGAGAGAACATGTGGATGGGGCAGGGTAAGCCTCCAGCCAAGGGCAGCTGCAGGCAGATGGCCAGAACAGCACCAGAACCCCTGTTCTGAAATCTGCTGAAATCTGCATACTTCAGTGGGAGCTGTGCATGAGGAAGGACTGCTGTTTCAGGCCTACCAAAAGCATTGGAAAGGTCATATGAAGTAATGAGCATATGGGCAGGGCAGGCTCTGTCGTCTGGAAGTGGCCAGATTATTGGATATCAGCCAACAGCTGGCAGGCTTATTTATTGATTTTGTGCCATGGCCTCTAGAATATTATCTTGAGTTCCTTATGCTCCATAATGAGTTAAAATCTCAACTTTTACTGTCCTTAGGAAATGTTATGAATCCCACATTATAGACAGAGAAACTGAGGCATTAACTTGCTTAAGCCAGTTGTAGGAAAGCTGAAATAGAGCCATGGACAGAACCCAGATGACTTGCACCCCAAGCAGTTGCTTTGAACATGGGGCTCACCGTCTTCTGAAGCAAGGATAAAACTGGAGAAGGAAAGCACTTCCTTCATTCTGTGCATAGGACCTTCCAAAGACTCTGCAAGAACAGTGTTAATGGATGTGTGATACTCATCTGCAGAATTCAGAACCTGAAGTCAAACAGGAAGTTTGCTCCTCTACTAGCAAAACAATAAGTGATTTTCAGAGTCAGATTTATTTTATGCCATTTGCGCTGAATTATCTTTTGGCCATCCAGTATCTACTGAGCTTAAGAAGGAAATGGATTTTGTCTGTGGAACATGGAACTTTGTCCCACGCTGTGAAGCGTCACAGCATCTTTACCCAATATAAAAATCTAGACTTACTGAGCTCAAGTGTTTTCTCATATAAAACAATTGGTTCCACTAAAGTAATCAAGTCTTGTAAGACTTACTCTTGTAAAACTTGGGGTATGGCATTCAGAGGAAATGAAGGCAGTCCCATAACAGCAAAATGGAACTTAATATTTTTTTTCAGAGCAGCTACTTCCTCTTTTGTAATTTCATTGGAGAATATTTTATGAAGTGCACATGTGCAGTAAAGGAGAGCAACAATAACCAAGACATCTCTGAATTCAATCCACAAAGGAATTGGAGATGAGCCCTTCTCTGAGAGGAGCAACTTTTTAGCACTTGAGGAAGTAAGCAGGCCAACGCAACTAAACATTGTGGACAACAGGAAACCTTCTGAACGTATTAGTAGCTGAACAAGGTTCAAATACTGCCTCAAGTATGACTGGTGAAAGCATCTCAGCAGATGGAGAAGCGCCGGAGTGTGAGGCAGTGAGGCCATGGCAGCCCCAGTTGTAGAGCCAAAGGAACCGTGATACAGAAAGTCAGAGGAGGAACTGGGGTGGGGGACAAAGAAAGATCATTTTTGACTTGATGAAGAAAGAGCAAGTTCCCTACTGGTGATCACTCTGTGCTAGTTTTTACTGTCACAGGGAATGAGACTAAAAGATTCGGTTGGGGGTGAAGAAAGAGAGAGAGTTCCTCCTGAATTCACAGCAAGAGGAATCCCGTGCTGGAGGAACTGAAGGGCGATAACAACCAAGACTTTAAGCAATGCCTGAACAATTAAACCGAGAGGGCTTGGGTAGGTGTAGCTGTCTTCAGATTTACTGTACACATCCGCAAGAGACACTTCGCATAAGTATCTCCCAGCTCCAAGTAGAGAGCAGAGAAAATAGATGAAGTTGCGGTTGCCTAATCTATTACCCTGGTAGGGGATTAGGTATGGGCCTGGAGGGACATTCGTTCTCTCTGAGGGCTTATAGGATGGGGGGTTTGAGGTCTATCATCAGGCACTAAGGATACAACATCTTGTGTCTGCTTCAGAGTTCCTTTATAGTTGAGTATTGAAGGAAAAGTTGCTTCCCTCCGTGTCCCTGTATAGCATTACAAGTTTGTAGCCATCTTTTTCAGAGGGCAGCAGCTTGCTGTCCTCTCTAACCTCTCACCCAAAAGAGGGCTATCGCCAACTTCCGAACAGATGCTAGGGATCAGATCGGGTTGCTAGGGCTTTACGTGGCCAAGTCTTGAAAATGTCTGAAGATGCAGATTACACCATCTCTCAAAACGACAAAATCTTTACACATTCACTGAGGGACCCTGCTACTGTCTCTTTTAGTGATGAGGTTACACAGCTTCTTTGGGAGGTTTCATTCTATCAAGAAGTCTTTGCATTTTTTTCCAATAATACATTTTTAGAGATTAGGTTCTGTCAGAAGAAGAAGTGGGCATCTGACTCAAAAATTAGTCCTTAAAGCCACATTCAGTTTTCCTCCTCATGATTAATCCAATTGCAAATAAAACTTCTGCTCATTTAAAGACTGCAATGCCCTCATTTGTTTTAATGGGGAGGAGAGGCTAGGGAAGCTAAGACTTGAGAAAAGTGTGAAAAATAGCATATGCAAGTGAAAAGAGATTACTTCTACTACTGAATCTCGCAATGCCAGTTTAGGTTTTAAGAACTGTATATGTGTAAGGATTGGGGTTTTTTTTAAAAAAAATAAAATATGTTGCTTGTAATGACATCACACTTCTTAATGTCTCAGGAATGC